GCTTATTAAAATTTTACATACATAATGTTCTTCTTTAGTGAAGGTATTTTAAATACATATTTTTCTACTAGAGAATAATTTCAAACTTAATTATTAATATATCTATGGCGTGACCTGTTTGTTCTTATTTGCTTACTTTACAAATTTAAATGTTGACTCTTTACGATGACACCAATTCTATCTATGATGATAATATGCTTATTTTGCCATTTTATAAATATGGCTATTAATTTTAATAGTTATTTGCATGTTTCAATGTCACTGCCAGGTGTGCACTCAGTAATTAATATACAGCGATTAATTTTTCACATGCTGTGACACTTTTTTGAAGTGTATGAAACTCAAATTAATGTTTAGAAATTATGGCAAAACCACGTCTTTATTACATAAATTTACGGGCGTATAATTCATTTTGTAAAAACACTTTCTGCAAATACTTTTAACCCAATTCGTCTTAGTTATAATTTTAACGAGTCAAATAAAATCGTAAATAATGATTATAAGATTTGATCTTCTATCTGACTATATTTGAATATAAAATAAAAAATAATTTTTATTAACATACATTCAGATAATTAATAATTTAATTTTGATCTCAAACTATTTAAAATAACATATTAATATGTAATTCTACATAATTTTTGAAATAATTCGTAGTTATTATTTTAGTTTTGAACATGACAACTAATGTACCAGCTAAATTAAAAATTATTTTTTTTAAATGTGTATTTAGTTAAATCATATACTGCATTAGTGTATATAAAAATATTTTACTTAATCTAATGAAAATAATATTCAAATAGTAACTAAGTTAAAAATATAAGTTAACAAATAGTATGTTACATTTATAGTAATTCTAAACAAATATTTGATATAAAATAAATGTTGATGGTAATCAATTCTTTAGGATAACAAAAATTGGTTTGAACTAATAGGTATTATTTATTTTCGATTAACCTGGAAAAGCACTTTGTTAATATGTGCTGTTAAATTCAAATTATAGTCAACTGTGATTATATAGATCCGTTTAAAATGATTATTTTTGAGCATTATTTTGGGTTTAATACTTTTAAATGACCATGTAATGACCTATTATTAGAAAATCCTCACTTTGTACTAAAGTTATTTTTCAAATTATGTATGAAATAATAATATAGCTCAGTAACATAATTTGTTTCATTGGTGGTTTTTAGTAGTGAGAAGACTTTTTACTAGTCATATTTGAGTGTAAATTGCAAACGGTTACCAAAAGAATAGCTTTCTCAGCACTGTTTTTAACCATTTGGTGGTTGTTTTTAACGCGAATGGATAATGAGAAAAATGCGTGACCGCTTATGGTCCGTTCCTAATAAACACGCACACTCGAAATTATTAATACTTAAATTATAACAAACAAAAAATAAGTTTCTAGTGTTGTAATAGCAATATTGCAGTTTAACAATAATTCTTATAAATATTTTTTTTCGAATGATAATTTTAAATAAGAAGTGATAAGTAATTAATAAATGGTTTTATGATACAATTATTATTATTATTTATAATTTAAAAAAAAATACAAGAATTAAATTCGATTAAGAACCATTTAAAATAATAATTATATTTATTGCTAAAAATTAATAATCTTATATAGTTTGTTATCGCAAGAAAACCTTTAAATAAAGCGTTAACTTAATAAAAATTGTCACACAGAAAACTTGAATTATGAAATAAAAAAATTATTTAAAATGTTCATAATTATTATTTTTATTATTCTCATTTATAACTTCCTTAAATGAATTTATTCTATGAGAAAAATTATTTATTATACAATAGACTTTTTGTAAGTAATAATTATATCGATTTTATAAAATAAAATAGTGTGACGTAATGACAATATGAATAAATTGGGCAACTAAAGATGGAATTTATAGTTCGTTACTTCCGTCAATAGTAAATTATATGGCGGTCTGCATTTTTTTAATTGAAAAAAAAAATGTGTATACTATAGAATTAGAATACGGTCGTTTAAATGGTTACTAATTATGAAGAATATTTTTCTTTTTCTGTTTAATTATATTTATTTTGTGAAAAATATTAGCAATGAAATCGTATTTGACTTAATATCAAACGAAAGTTGGAGATAGAGAAAAATGTATGAGACACAGTGAATAAAGTCATTTGTGCACAATACTTAACCACCTTTTATACTTTATCTTCTTACCTTTAAATGTTATTAACCCATAACATATTTAAATTAAATGTGATTTCATTTGTGAATATTTAATTATTAGGAAACAAATGGTTGAAAGAGAAAAACTGACTTAATATATAATTCCCGTTAATGCAGTTTGTTTACAGACTGCATCAACTCGAATTATAAATAAGTTGGTTTATCACTTGAAAATAAAAATATTTAATTCATGTCCGTTGATAATATTTTTATGTGATTCTAAGAAGAATTACTTTTATTTAACGATTGTAGATATAATTTGTAAGGTATTGAACTCTTCTTTATGGTATTATATTCCATTCAATTCTATTACATGTTATGGTTATGAATAGTTGAAAAGGTCTTTTTGAATTAATAAAACAACTATTTAGACAGATATCCATTTTTTATTATTACTCGAATACGCCCTGACATTTATAAAAAAAATGATGGTGGATGTTTTCTTTTGATATTAAATTTGTTGAATTTCTAATCTTGAATGTTATTAATTGTACTGCATTTTACTAATTATTATAAGTATATGTACATTTGGTAAATAACGGAGTGTGTAACATACGGAAATGTAAATAATATTGCTTTGTCATTCACAAACCATAACATAAAATCCGTTTCATTATTTTTAGTTTCCTTGATAAAATTGAGCGTGTGAGTTTCTATTTAATTATTTATCTTTTCCAAAAAATTATACCCTGTTAAATATTAAATTTTACAGAAAACCTAGTAATAGCTATACTGTTTTTATTATTCGACTGTTTTACCTGAAATATTTCGTGACACATAGTTAAAAAATCATGTTGCATAGTTTATGTTGTACCTATATTTGTAAAATGTATTGTTGCCATTTCAATTTGTAATGAACCAATAAGTTAATTGGTGTATGTCAGATGATAACTGCGTTTACAGGTTTACTAATCAAAACCTTACATCTAATAAAAAATGTAAAAGATTATATAGATTAATGACACTTGATAGACGTAACATTACATTTTCATTTTATTTAGTTGTATTAAAAATGTCACCAATATAACCTTCTCGTAATGTCTATTCTTTAAGGATACTATTACCAATACACTTTTTTAAAAATATTCTAAATATATTGTTAGAATACTTATTTAACTGAATATTGGCAAAAACCTTGTTGTAAATCCGTATTGAAATTTAGTTTCGCTGAATTTTGATTGATTAAAAGTGATTGGGTTTTATTTCGCATATATTTTTAATGACGCTCGACACTTTTAACGTGTTTATCAATTTTTAAGTGTTGAGATATATTACATTTTTTTCAAAACTTTATCTTTAACTTACACATTTTACAATATAAGACATGCGGTTTGTGGAAAAAATTTCATACCCTAGTGTGTTTTAAAAGCATACTAGCTGATACCTAATCTATTCCCATTTTATTTTAAGTACACAACAAAGATCAACAAATCATTAGTTAATACAACGTGATCGGTTATCCCTTTCGTGGTTATTAAATTATGGTGGTCTCGTACTATTTATAAAATACATTATTTATTGATATCGTCGAAACAACAAGAATTAGTTATAGTTTGATTTTCCATAAGCAGCGTTGGAATATTTTTATTACTCTACAGTCTGCAACGACCGACGCCACTAATAAATAACCAAAATAAATTCGTATGTAATGAAAATATTTAAATGTCATTGTTATTAATTGTAATTATATACATAAAATAAGCCGAAAAAGTAGAAAAAACTTTGAAGAAGCATAGTTTTTAAAAAAAACATTAACATAAGCAAAAAAATACATTTTAATTTTATGTAAGATGTCATAAAATTGTATAGAATTTTGTAACTTATTATACTAATCCAAAAATATAAGCAAATACTTTAAATTCTGAGCGCCGATCTAATGCATATTAATGTACATTACTTATATCAACTACTGTCAAAAAGAAGTTGAAAAAGCCAAATCTTTTTAACTTAAAACACAACTTATTAAATAATTTGCTTAATTGGAATTGACGTTATATATTTTTGTGATTGCTAATCTCACATAGTAGAGACAATTGTTCTATTTGAATGTTATTTGTGCTAATTATTGTGCTACTTCAAAATCTTAAATTTGACACAATTTAGAAGTCAAATCTTCCAGAACATTTTCAAAAATCGATTTGAAAATTTTTTTTTTTGTACATGCGTAAATGGTTTTTTTAATTCTTCCTGCACTAGGTTTTTAATCTGTTTTTCAAAAGAAATGTACCAAAAGAAAGTTTATTGCTTATATTATATTTTATTAAAATTTAATTTGAATTTAATTGTTTTTCAAAAAAACTCATATCAGTTTTAAAATACATAAAAAAAATTATATGCTAAAAGTATGCTATTTTTATAGTAGTGTAATTTTGAGGTTTTTTTTAAATATAAAAATGAGGGGTTTTTCAAATTTGAACAACAATAGATTCAAGCAGATTAAAATCGGATTTTTATAACATATTGATTATAAAATCAGGTCTATTGAGGGCTAAGAATTTTCATGGACAGACATAAAAAAAACTACACACTATCACAAAATCATACTCAGCTTCGCATCTATGCTAAAAAAGAAAAATATTTTTGGTTTTAAAAACTATTGGTGTAATGAAATTCTATTTTTTGAGGAAATTTATAATGGATTTTTTTATCACATCACCTTATACTATTGTCACTTTAATGTAATATTGGTACTTAACGTATATTTTATTCGATTTGAAACAGTTGTTCAAATTAATTTAATTTTAAGTAAATATAAATCATCAGGCTTGAGTTGATGAATAGTACATGTTAACTCATTATTACAAAAATTTGCTTTATAGTAGTCACAACTAAGGATTGTAAATATGTTGGCAACATTCATAAAATTTTTAGTGCTACTTGTTTTGTCAACTGTTGTAGTATGTGAACTAATCGGTAAATACATTTTATAATTAAATTTTAATGCTATATTATAATTGAAAACCAAAAATCTTAAAAAAAGACACAATTGGTTATTGACTTAATATTGAATTTAGAGTTTTAAATTTGATTGTTTTTGAAGCCAAATAATCCACCAGTATGTAAAATAATAATTCCACTTTATATGTGACTTGAAAAATTGCGATTATCTCCAGTTTATAAATGTGTTTACATAACTCATTAATTACATTAAAGAATATTTTACTCCTTAAAATGTTTTTTTTGTTGAAAGCCCTTTTTATAATTTATTGGCGTGTTTATGTGAATTATCATATAAAATTTTGATTTATGTAATTCAAAAACAATCAAACATTGATATATTATCAAAAAATTATCAGTTATGAGTAATTTTTTGGTGCATTTATCAGTAATGATATTATTTATAAGAATTTATATATTTTGCTGGTTACGCCAAACCGATAGCTATAGAAAATAGGCTTGTAGTTGTCGACATGTGAATGGACAAGAGTTCGAGTAATATATATATCTAATTTAGATAATGTAAACGTGACATATGTTCAGCCAAAATTAAATAAATTTCCGGTAATCTAATAATAATTCTCAATGAATCTTTTATAAAAATATTTAATGCACAATCAATTTAACAAGTGATAATTATAAGGAATGTCGACCACTAGAGCTGTTACACTGTGAGCTCATAAGGGCGAATTGATGTTGTAATTAGTCTATTTTTGATCATCTGGATGACCTTTACTACAGTTAAATAGACTATTTATTTTACTTATATATCACGGGCAAGAAAACTATAAGTGACCTAGCCGATTGGCATATAAAACTTATTTATAGATATTAAAAAATCGTTTGAATTATTATTGTTTTCAAATCGAAAGTTTTCATTTTGTTCAAAATTTGTAAGCTTAAATCTTATAATGGTTAAAAATTGAAAAAATTATTTGTGTATTTTAGTTATGTTGAAACCAATTTATAAGAAATAATTCATTTGAAGTTAAAACATATTTTTAATTTTTCTGAATAACTAATTTATTTAAAGAGAATACAAATTTGAAATTCAAATATTACATAAATATTTTTGTCAGTGTAAAATCATTTTTTAATATAGCTAAAACTTTAAAATTGCTAAATTGATTTTTGTATATTAAAATTGAAAGAATGTACAATGTATTTATGTGTATTTCAAGTACTTATTTAATTTAATCAAATTGGTTGTATTTACTATATCGTATAATATAGTGAGTGTATAATATATAAATAAAAAAAAATTGTACAAATAATATTTGTGGCCTTTACAATATTCATCATAATCATGGAAATGAAATCTTAATATTGCAAATTGCAGCATTTAAAAATAATTTTTGTTTAAACTTTTTTACTAAAATAACTTTTTTTTTCCTCGAAACACAATACAATTTAACTAATACAAAAAGTATCATTAATATTCTAAAAGATATCTCATATTTAATTACTGAATTAAATAACTTTTTGCAACTTCTGTGAGTTATCATTTTGTTCAACGGCTAAAATGTAAAGCATACAATAGCAGAATTTTAAATAATTTAATATAGATCTTTAGGAAAAAATACTAGCTGTATCATCTCAGATTTTTTTTATTGGGGAGGAAGATATATACCAAAATTAAATTTTAGTGTCTACTTTCTTTTTTTGAGAATATTTGTAAGTTAAACTATAGGGTTAGTAATACCAAAGCCTTTTTAGCTCCCTTGGATACGTCACTGAACTTCTAGTATAATTTATTAAACAATATATTTAGTTTATATAATCGATTTGTAGATCTATGTATGTATAAAGTGATCAATTTAGGGACAAGACACTGATATTTTCAGAAACAATTGAATATTTTGTTTTTGCACAGAGATCAAAATCACGTGATTAAATAATTCTACACTAAATGGAGATATCCTATTTTGAATTTTGAATTGTGATACAAATAAAATACAAACAAATTTGTTCTTATAATTTTTTTTAATCCATCAACCGCTATTGTTTTAAGATTGTTTAATAATTTTGATTTGAAATAAAAATTCATCAATAATTTGGCTTTAAGGACTAAAAGAATTAATATTTTGTTTCATGATAGCCTATACAATTTTAATTAAGTTAGTAACTAAGAATAATGGCCCACACCAGTTTACCGTCAATGTCCGAAAGTAAATTTATATTGGATGTAAATGTATGTGTTTATTAATAAACATGATGTATTTAAAATATCTGTATAATACCTTAATTAACGATATTAAGACAAAATAAAAAAATGAAGTCTACTATTATTCATAAGTCTACAATTACTTAACTTTAACTACCGAAAGTATCAATATGCAACAGTTAAAAATATGATTGGATAAAAAATATTATATAAGATCAAATTTTTTAAAATTGTATTAAAATAAAAATAAAAATAGGAATTCTCATTAAAGCAAATTAAAAATAATGTTTTTTATTTCCAAAGATATGAAAGAAAATTATTTTACTACATAATGTTAAAGTTTTTTATACCAAATAATAATAATTTCTTTTAACAAAAATAAACATTTTTCAATAGTTTCTGGTAAAATAGGCGTTTTATTCATAATTGATGACGCTGCATATTTATGTATTCTAATTTTTTTGCTGTTGTTACATATTATTATACAGGTGCACCAATGCTAACCCAGTGCCCCAACGGTTACAGAAGGGATTTAAACGACAATATATGCAAACCAGTATTTAAGGCGGAATTCATGAACGATGATGATGAATAATTTACAATATCTAATAATAAATTTACCTTTAGCGATTTTTAATTTTTATGTACGATCGTTGTGTTAAAATGTAATTAATTAATTGATTAATACAATTCAAATGATATTACTCATGAACTAATATTTTCGTCTTTTTTAAGTGAATAATAATAATAATAATAATAATAATATTTACTGCTTGTTTAAATTTATCATAAAATAATGTTCTAGTTTTTCATATTCATTTTAACTGTTAATTTCAACTCTTTTTTAATAGCGCAATCAAAGTACAATATTGTATCGTTTAAATCCTAATAAAAAAAACTAAATCATGAAATAGTTGTCCTATACAAAATCTAATTACACAATTGTCTTAAGAGTTAAAAAAGAGTTAAATACACGAGACTATAAAATTTTTATTTGAATTTCATAAAAAACTGTACCAAAAAATCTAATAAAAATAAGATTTCAGTGTATTTAAATTATTACCTGTAAGTATATTTTTTTCCGTAATTTCGTTTTTACAAAATTTTTGTCATATTAAACACAAAAAAATTATATTATTGAACTACTTGAAAAATTATATATTTATTGTAACTATTTCATAATTATGAGATTAAGCCAAAAATAGTTACAGTCTATAGTTCATCTTTTTTTTTGTGAAAAATTCCATTAATTTCAAATTTTAAGGCCTATAAAAATAGTTAAACTTGATGGATAAGGTCCAAATTTTGGAAAAAATTTTTTAACATCATAAAATTATATTTAGAAAGTAATATATATATATTACTTTTCATTTAAGTATTTACAATGATTTAACTATTTAATTTTTACTTAATTACTAATTAGTAGTTATCTCATAAACTAGATTTGATAGAAAAAATCTGAAGCCAGGTTCGAAATGGGCGTCAAAAATCTATAAATAATTCACCTAAATATTGTACACGTCAAAATGACTGATGTTTTTATGTATTTGACCTAAGTATTAATTTGTATAATAACTACTTTAGCATAAATTAGAAATAAAAATATTTTTTATAAAAACATAAAACAATATATTTTGTACTTCAAAAATGATTAAAAATGTAAAATATAGTAAATAAATATAATAAATATCTGTATAATGTTTTGCTTCATGTTAATCTAAAGCTAAAAAAATTACATATAAATAATAAACAATTAAATGAAAAATAATTATTTAAACAATAGTTACAACTCATGCGCCCCAGACTTTCATATTCTTATGTTTGTTATACTTACGATCCCATGGCTTGTGCATCAAATTAGAATATTTGTTCTGTAGATTGGTCAGATATCTTTTTGCCGGTGACTCTTCTTTGGAACCAACAGAAGTCACTCTGGGAGCCTTTCGTAAATTACTTAAAAGATCTCTTGGAGCAAATCTATTGTCAAGTAGCGCTGTTTTGGCAAAAACAAATGAAACAAGCGATAAAAAAACAAATAAAAAACGAAGTAGTAACATGTCGACGAATAAATGTGTCTTTCAATTTCAATGCACGACTACGTTTAACGAAAGTCAATAATAAACCACTAGTAAAATATTGCATTAACTATTGATAAAGCATAAGGACAACTTGTGTTATTGTTTTTGTTATTTTCTTTGTCTATGTTTAAGAAAACATATTTAGCATTTTTTCATCATGCGCCATTTTATGTATCAACATTTCTTATCAACTAATATAATTTTTTTTTAGAACTTATACATATATTTTCTTCATGTCGAGGACGGTATATTTCTATATTTATTAAGAACAATTGAAAAAATAATTAAGATCGTTGATTTAATAAAACTATAACATAATTTAGTAGTATAATCGTAATATCGATTAATAGTTGCCAATTTAGGAATAAAATGCTGAGCTCTTAATTTTTTTGTTGTAATATAAATACTTAAATTATGTAATTATAAATTTCAAAACAACTCTCTAAAATTAGTAATAAGTCATAATTTTAAATAAAATAACAAAGAATTATTTCTATGACTTAAAAAATGCATTGTACAAGTATAATAAAAGTATTTTTCTCATTTATAACTAGTTGAATATATGATTACAGTAATATTAATACCATAAGAAGTTTTATTTAATGTTGTGGTAAGTAGTAATAAGGTGAACATTTTAAATATCTTGTACTAAATGGAAAAATCAATTTTGTGTTTTGACTTGACTGATTAATTTTATAAATGATAAATTTCAAACCGTGAATTTAAATGACTTAATATCATAAAAAAAATAAATTTATTTCTTTAATATTCCTAGCGATTTATGTTGCTGACTTCTTTTAAAGTGAAAAGAAATCAACTTATTGATTCAGTTATTTAGTTTATGAAACGAATATGATGGCTATTTTATGGTAATTTATAATTTTTGGGGCAAAATAATTTTGCTGTTCAATCATTTTTCAATCTACAACCTGTCATTTTCGTATTAAAAAAAAAAAGATATAATCATAATTTTGTTGTATAATAAGGATATTACTTCTTGCTTTTCTTGCTGCCTTGTTTGAAAGATATAAAAAATGTATATCATATTTAAAAATATACACGAGGAGTGTTAATTAAAATAAAGATAATTAGTTAATTACAACCCATTCATTTATAACTTAAAAGTTATCATAAAATTTAACACTTAATTAAATTAAATATATCTTAACATTTACATTAAATGTAATTTTTTGTATCTTTGAATATTTACTAAAGGACGAATAAAAAAGTATTTAGAATTTAACTTTACATGACTTTTTAGAAAAATAAATAAAAATTGATTATTATTTTTGGACTTATAAAAAATAATTTTTTTCAACAATGTTCTACCATTTACCTATATAAATAATTCTAGTACAATATAAACACAAAATATAATTGTGTGTATTCTTCGAAAGTATTAGATATATATAGTCCATCATGATTTTAAAATTTTTACTATTTAATCAGTTACTAATTAATACTAAATTATTTTTCTGGATTATATATTTAAAAAAATAAAATGAATTGATTTGATTAATTCTACTAAAATATTATGAAGTTTTATGAATAATATTATGTTTGTGTAATCATATTTGTTTAAAAATTAATACACTAACAACTAGTCTAACAATGTTAGAGTTATTTTAAATGAAACAAGGTCAGATTTCTTATAAGACACAATGAATACTAATGCAATATAACGTGCCTATTTAGCCAACATGTTACAAAAGACCGTTAATAGTCGTAACTCTGAGGACATAAATAAATACCAAAAATTACTCGGAATTTTTAAAGAATAGGCTCAAGTGTCCATTTGAAATTTATTGCAGCTTAGACTAAATGTGATCATGTGAAATAATGATGTAACTCAAAAATGATAATAATCTAAAACATAAATTCACGATTTAAATGTAAAATTTTAGAGATTACGAGTTGAATAAAAACAGGTTATCTTCTGCTAACTATTTTATTAATATTTTTTAGATTTTTTTATTGATTAACCTAATTCTAAAAAATTTGAATACTTTATCATATAATTATTTTCATATAATAAGTATATAATACAGATATAACAATTACTTTCCTTAGAATATCAATTATTTCAATCACGTATTACTTTTCACTTTAAAATTAAAATAATTCATATTTAATGAGATATTTACTAAATAATCAAATATTTTTATCAATACTTATGTGTAAAAAATTCAACAATTAACTTTTTATTGGGACTTAACAACTACGCATAAATTCGTTTAGTTATTGTTTCCCAAACTTATATTATTATTATTATTATACTATATTTACAGTAATGTTTTGAATAGACGTGATGTCTTCATGTCTATGACCTGGTCACTCTTAGTTCTTAAAATGGTAGATGCTAAATACCTTTGTAATTTTTGAGGGGCATATTTTTCTGATCACAATAACATCACGACATTAGTAATGGTATAAAGTTACGCTCGTTTTAGACTTACTGTTTAGTAAATAATAATAAAATGGTTAAATGAGCGTGATGTTGAATCTAAAACGTTATATAAAACTCGTGGTATGCAGTTCCGCGTAGTTTAGTAGACGCAAAAACGTTGAACGGTCAAGTAAAAATAACAAATATAATAAATATATAATTTAAGGATATGGATGAAAAACTTTTTTTACTTCTTTTATTCGCTTGTAGTATAGTGAAGGGCATGCCCGGTAGCATGCGGCTTTTAGATGAGGAAGAAGAAGATTGGGTACCGCAAAACAATGGGCGTAGACGTTACGCTATCCCAGAAAAAATAGACAGCAGGGATGAAGATGAGAACGAAGAAGATGATGACATTGTTGAGAGCTCTGGTAATTGGCAACGAATGGAAAGTATTACTACGCCACATCCCAAAATTCCCGTAGTTGCAGCAAGCCGACGATTTGACAGAACTCCACAACAACCAAAAAATGCTGTTCGTATTGATACCTCTCTGTTAAATGGAGAGTCTGTTGAGTTGCCCACTTATATTAACGTACCGGTTACACTTAAATGTAAATTTGTAAAAGTTCCTGGCACCGATAATAAGTTTGAAACAGTTGTAGAAGGCATGTATCCTGGTCACACAACGACTGGATCGCAGCTGGATCACCCATCATCACAGATTTTACAACAACTCATGGATACTGCTGAAAAGTGGCGTGGAACTATTGAACGTTCAAGAAACCCTAGAAAAATTCTATACGAAGACGAAATAATGAATTACGATCAGGATATAAATCCATACGGAAGACATGAAAGATATGCAGAAGACATAGTACAAAACGAAGAAAATTTGCAACCACCATGTGATGATCAAGTAGAACAAACTAAAGATTATAGTGATGATAAAAATGGTGAACTACGATCTGTTGACAAACAAATTTTAGAATCTCAACAGATCGATGACAAACAACAAACAAATATTGACCAACAGTATGATAATGAACAATTTGACAACGATAAACAAACTGATAACAGTCAACAAATTGAAAATGACCAAGAAATCGATAATGACAAACCAATTGATAGTGACCAACAAGTTGATTATTATCCACAAACTGACAATAATCAACAAATAAATGATGATCAGGAGACCATTGTCGACATGCCAGTTAACAATGATTTACAAACCGATTATATACAACAACTGGTTACCGATGTGCCCGAAGAAGAGGAAGTGACTGAGCAAGAAACAGAAAGTCCACAAATAATTGAAAAATCAATAGGACAACGAGTAGTAGAAGCAGCTATCGCAACTGCCAAAGCAACTGAAATGGACATTACGACTACAATTAAAACAACAAACCCTATACAGGTTCAAACGGAACTTCCAATCAGAAAATCAGTAAATTTTAAAAATAAAAAATTAGAAGTACAAAAAAAATTTTCACCAAGTCAATCAAAAAAAGTTAAAACAGACCAACTCCCAATAAAACTATTCGAAATAAGTACTGAAGTTGTTCCTACAGTTACTAAAGTTTTACCGCGAAAACAGGATCAAATTAAAACAGGACCTTTATCTGTCTTACAAACTCTAACCACAATTCCGGAAATTGTTGAAACAGTAAATCTAGTTTCTACTACGCCAATGCCAGTTTCAGATGTACGACAACCCTCTGTATTGACGGCTACGACATCCAAATCAGATTACACTTCTGTCATAGCTGGTATGCCGCAGGAAACTTTCTTTGAATACATGGATGGAGAATCAAATAGTAGCTCTGAAGTACCTGTTGATATACGACCCTTGAAAATTTCCCATTAAAATTGATTCCACCATTATCCTTCCAAATCACATCAAAAATCATCGCTCCACTATTTCATTATAATTAAGTAGTGAATAGTTTTGAACTTTTGTAAAGTAAACTTAATTTATTTTTTATTTGTGATATTTTTAGTTGTACATAAAATATTTGTTTTTAGTTTTTTTTTACTACATATTTCTGTGATATTATTTAGTTATTTCAATCAATTCTATTCATAAATTATCATTAAGTATTATTTCAAACAAGTCACGTTCAGATAAATAATAACAGTATCATAAATATACATAAATACTAGTACTTAGTTCAAATAATACAATGAAGGAGTACAATATTTTTTGTAATAAAATATAAGATAGACACTTAAATTAATTTAAGTAAACATAATATATTTAAACTATTATTGTAGTATTATGAATAATACTATAATTCCAAAGAATGGCTACCGACCTATTTATCTTAAAATAAAGAAATAACAAAGTAATTAAGATCTTGACGTATTTTTCTTATGTTTAGTATTTTGAATTGAATATTTATGTAATTTATTAATATAGTAAAGTAAAAAAATTACTATTAACAATTCGTTTGAAATATTGTATGGTAAAATGTTCTATAATCGACTTAAAATTTTATACTAATTATAATTAAAATAGAAAATGGAAAAAAGTATAGTTGTAATAGTATTTTAATCAGAACATATTTCAAGCAAGTTTATTTAATAATGTAGTATGTACTAAAACAATTACTAATTTTTTAGTTCTAATTATCATTTAATTTAATGAAATTAATTTTTTTTTATTTTAAATAGGTCAAATAATTATTAAATTATTAAAAATATACAAAAACTTGTATTGCCTATCAGTAAGAATAGTGGTTTAACTCAAAAATGTTTCCATATTCAATTATGTAAATAGAAAGTAGTTATTGAAATAATTATGAATAAATAAGTAACATTATAAAATATGGAGATAACGATTTTATGTGTTTTTTATTCTAAAAAAAGAAGTACTGAAATATTTATTGTTCTGTTATTGTTATATTATTAAAATCATAGAATTTTATAACTTTTTTTTCCCTTTCCTAAGAAAATTACACGAATAAACTAATAATGGTGGTTTTCCCCTGTGACATTTATATACTTTATATTTTTTACTTGTTAGAATCCATGTTTAAATTTTAGCAATTAAATCACATCGTTGTAAGAATAGATGAATAAAGGTTTTTTAAAACATTCATTTCGGACTAACATAAAATATAAGCCATAAAATTCAACTATTATAGGGTCTTTTGATGTACTTAATAATATTTATATAACTCAAATTAAATTTAAATATGTTCAATTTAGGCCGGCCTTAAATACAATATCAAATAGATTGGGTAAAATTATTTTTTGAAAAAAAAAATTATTTAATTAATTTGTACTTCAAAATATATAGAATATTTAGAGAAATTGATGGATTATTCCAAAAGCATCATCAACTCTTATTTCTTTAATTATATCCTCATTAGTAGTTCTTTGATTTTAAAATATAATATATGAATAAATACTAATTATAATTATTAAATTTAGTATGAAATTGATATTCAATAATATTGTAATTTTTACGGAGATATAAAAATAAAATGGAGTTTATATTCATATATTTTTAACGCGTATAAAAATTTAAAGGGTTTGATACAATATTTTTCAGTAAAAACTGTTTGTTACTATAAATAAATGCACTGTATCACAAGGAACTTTCATCAGAAGCAAAAATATACTTCTCTAAATCAACTTTTCGCGTTGTTTTCAAATCTGCAATTACACTTCTAATTTTTTATATTATTACTAATTACACATAAAAAAATAATTAAAAGAAAAAAAATTTGTTTTCAAATTATTACTGATTTTATTTTTAATATGTTAAAAAAAATCAGTCCAAATTTTCATTTTCAACCTATTTTTTTGGTTCTTTAATGTTGATGAAAAATTTTTGATAGAGTTTTGTGAAAGTTTACAGTAAAAAAAATTGAATATGTTACCATAACTTTTAGCTCAATTACAAGTTTGAAATTGACATTATTAAATAGAAAATTTTATGAGAATTAAAACAATGCTATTTTTAAGATTGATATGCAGTCAGGAAATTTTATAATTACTATTTATTCTAAATTTATCTAAAAATTCAATGTTTTTTTGTATTTTTATCGTAATATATAGCTTAAATAGAAATAATAGTAATAATTTCCTAGTAACTTTTGGTGTTTAAAAAGATTCTCCAATTGAAATATCCAGAGCTGAATTAATTTTAATGATTTACTTTAACTAAAAAAAAAAAAGTCATCATTTTGAATCCTTCTTGTGGGCAGGTAAAGGGTTAGATTTATAAAAAAAAAAACTAAATGATAGGTAAAAACATGCCTCTAAATAAAAAAAAATTATTTTGATTTGATTATTTTTGATAAAGTTATAACAGTTAACAAAGTTTTAAGTTTTATACACTGGACTATAAGGAACTTTCATCAGAAACAAAAATATACTATTCTAAACAACTTTTCGCGATGTTTTCAAATGTGCAATTAGACTTTATCTATCACTTCTAAGTTTTAATATTATTAAAAAATAGTATTTACATATAAAAAAAAATAATTCAGAACAAAAAAAAATTGTTTTAAATTAATACTGATTTTGATTATTAATATGTTAAATATAAGGAAAATGACATATTTAACCTATTTTTTTAATCGTTTAAAGTTGATTGTTGTAAATGTTTATAATAAAAAAAATTAATTATTTTACCATAACTTTTAGCTCAATTGGCAAGTTTGACATTGACATTATTAAATAGAAAATTTTATGACAATTAAAAAAATTGTATCGTTAAGATTAATATGCAGTCAGAAAGTTTTATAATTACTATTTATTGTAAATTTACCAGAAAAGCTCAATATTTTTTTGCATTTTTATCGTAATAGATAACTTAAATAGTAATAGTAAATAGAGTAATAGTAAAATTAAAGTAATAGTAATCATTTCCTAGTAACTTTTGTTGTTTGAAAAGATTCTACAATTGAAATATTGAGAACTGAATTAATTTTAATGATTTACTTTAACTAAATGAACCAATCAAAACAAAGTTGTTAAAAAGATTACATCATGTTACCAAAAAATTTTGAATAATTTAGTCTAGTAGTAACACACACAAATAGAGTAAAATGATTTAATTTTATAATTGAAACCTATCATATCAAATTTAATTCGTTAATAAATATTTTGAAAACATTAGAAATTAATGATTTTAATTGTCTTTATGGAGAAATTGTAATAACTAACTGTTTAATTGGTAAATTAGAATTTTTTTTCAATTTTTGAGGGTAATTTCTTCAACTACATACGAATTGTAGTCATTTGACGTATCGTTGAAAAAAGTAGGTCAAGTTAGAGCAGAGAAAATAAATGATAGTCACAAAAAATATCTTCTCAGCTTTGCATCGAAGCTAAAACTTAAAATATAGTAAAATAATTTTAATACGATAAAGAATTTCTTCTTGCAAGGGGCGACTAAAGTGATGGGATCCTTGATGTATATTGAAGTTATTGAATATAAATGAGATAAAAATCAAACGAGTTAAAAATTTATACTAACTTAAAAAGAATAAAGAAAAAATGCAAAAAATTCATTGCCATACGCGGGTTAGAACCTTGTACCCCAAGCCTGTCAAACAAAAAGTTTACTAATTCGGCAACCGTACGTCGCTTCCATCCATTGAAAAAAATAGCTATTTAAGCTAGTTCAAATTTCAAAGTTTATTTTCTCGACTTAAAAGAAGTAAACAAATTTAAACAAGTTTAACTTTCTATGCTATATTAATTTTTTATTTATAAAATATTTATGAAAATCTGTACTCCCCTTGTCAGGTATNATTTATATAATATTTATGAAAATCTGTACTCCCCTTGTCAGGTATTTTAAAATAAAATAAAATACAAAACCCAGAATTTTTACACAAAAATAGCAAATTTTTGAATACGGTAGTCATTTTTACCATGAAGACAAATCCAGTGGTCAATTTTTTTTTTTCAAATTAAAGTATATTACATTATCTTTAATTTAAGTTATATATAAAAGTGTTAGTCTTTCCGGAACATTTTCAAAAGTTAAGTTGAAAAAGTTAATTTTTTGTAAAAAAGTTACCATTTTGAAACCCTTCCTGTGAGCTGTTAAAGGGTCAAATGTTCATAAAAATATATGAAATGATAGGTAAATATCTAAGGTATCTATAAAAAAAAAAAATTATATTGATTTGGTCATTTTTAAAAAAGTTATGGCAATGTTAAGTAAAAAAATTTGAAAAAATATCGAAAATTAGCGATTTTTAAATTTGTAATTTTTTGGGGGATTTCCCCCGTTTACGGGGAACGAGAGAATTTTGTTGATATTGTTCATCAAAATCGGTCCAGCGAGCGCTGAGATTGAGTGTTCACAGACACAAAAAAAAAAAAAACACATCATAGTAAAATTAATACCTTCTCAGCTTCGCATCGGATCTAAAATTAACTTAGAGTTGATCTCAATAATAGTTATTTTTTAGTAGAGAGTACAGATAATATCAAAGAATTTTTTAACTTAAATATATGAAAAAATTGTATATTAAAAATAATTATATAAATTAAATGTAGATAAAATGATTTTTATATAATTTGTAAATAAAGTATTCACAAAAAAAAAACAACTAAATATTACTTATAAGTGTTTGATTCATTCTACTATAATTAATATTTGTTAAATTTTACTTTTATACTTACTCATAACATTTTTAAATTAATATTAATATTAATTTAAATTAAATTTATATTATAAAATTGTTTGAAGAATAATATGTATTTTAACTAATATAATATTTTTCAATAAATTTTACACTAAAAATATAAGTATACCATAAAAATGTGAGCACCTACTTCTTGAACATATCCTTTAATTTTTTTTTTTTTTATAGTTTTTTAAACAGATAAATGGTGTTA